TACATACATAAACCAAAATAACGAAAAAGCAAACTCCTTCCACACGAGCACATAATATGATCAAGATATCATCTCTGTCTTGTAACTATAGATCTTCTCTCATGTCCAGATACACCATTCTGATTGTGAGTCCATGATGAAGCCTTAATCCTCCCTGCTAATAAAGCTGACGCAGCACCGGCACTTATCTTCCTCCTCTTTGCCCCGAGCTGCAGTAGCCTACTTCCAGATGCAGAGCTTGATGATTCTCCAAAGATTGAAGATGCCTTGATCGCAGTTCGCTTGTCTTTCCTGTTCCTCTCAAACTTGGAGGAGAATCTCACACCAGCAGCACTTGCTGCATCCTCTTGAGATGAAGGGAGAAGCCGGATCCCAAGGCCCATCTTTCTTAAAACCTCTTCTCCTTGAGCAACTTTCTTCTTCTGACCCTGAGGAGATCAACACGCACACATATATACTTAGGACCCTCGCTATCATAATTTTCCATCCATAAGGTTATGATACCAATTAGCCTTTAGCAGAAAGTCTTGACTAGATGAGGATTTAAAAGATTTACTCTATTGCGCCAACAATTGATATATTATATAGATGTGTAGAGGAACAAATAACTATTCGCCAGAAGGATTTACAGAAAGAGGACGTTATTATGTGAACCACGAAGCTAATTTGTAGACAATGTAGTAAATCTCTGTTCCTCTTTAATAGACACAATATAATTTGTTTCTTTCTTAAAACCAAAGTTCGAAGATCTGAGATATATGCATCGTATCATTTCTATGCTTCTAACTTTAAACCCGTAGGAACCACTACACTGTTTTCCTGTAGAAGCATTTTAAAAATCCTCCAAGATTATGGGAGCAAGCAGCAACAAAGCCTCCACACTTCCATGCAAAGAAAGCTAATGTGACACCCACCATTTACTTTCTAGACGAATTATCCTAAAAGTTCCCTACGTTTCACAATCCTTTGCAAAAACAACCTAAATCTGATGTCTATCACCAAACCAAAATTAATTCTACTTCCAACCTTTACTATATATACGATAGTAATAATCAGCCTCCTACTAGATAGACATGTACACGCACATAAGAGAATCTGTTTCTCTTACCTGTTGTCTAAAATAAATAGAACTAAATATGCATACAACATTTCAACTCTTCTCTTCACATAATTAAAACTTCAACTCACAAACTACAAGCAAGCCATGCCCCTCCAGTATTCCCTTTTCCAAATTATGGTTTCTACGTAACCTAGGTGCAATAAGCACAAATATAATACTTAATGAATCAGCAAGTTGAAACTCATTATCACCAGAATCTTACCCTTAGGCGAGCACGGAGGGCTCTGTTAAGATTGTAGTCATCAGAATGCCTACTGTCAGAAACTTTTTGGAGGCGAACTAGCACTGGCTCAGCTTCTTTCTTTTTCCGTATATCTTCTTCCTGATGTTCAAGACGGTAGAAGGGATCTGACAGCTTGGCTCTGTCTTCATCTGCTGGAAAGGCAAATGTTTCGGCATCTTCGACATCAAAATCCTGTCTTCTGCTGTGCTCCACTGATAATCACATACTGGCAATTTTTTGGGTCTGTCTGTATGACTATTACATGCTGACAACATGCCGACTTCATTGTGAAACTCCATATCTAAATGTACAGAAACATTAAGATTATGTTAAACATCAAGGAGCAAAGAAGAGAAGAACAAACATCCAAAAAACAATTTAATAGCACCAAAAAAATTTTCCTACCACAAGTTTTTTAATCTACAAGCAGGTGCACAATAATAGACAGCAAATCATATATACCTAGATATATAATAAATTAGACAGAGAATTTATCACATGTAAAGGGTTGTTTTATGGAAAGCTCATCCACGAGCACCAACCAATTTGGAAGAGCAAGGTGACGGGTCGAATTAAAAATGATATAGGAAATAGACAAACTTTGATTTGTATGTACGATTATATAGGAGAATTAGATATCTTTATCGTGTTAGATCTTTCAGGTAACTAGTCATTGAAATGCTTCAGAATGGATACTGCAATGAGATTTTGACTACATTCAAGCCTGTGAAATGGGAAATAAAATCCAGATACAAAACTAGAAGCATGTTAAAGGTTAAGTAACTTAATAAAACATACTCCAAATCTGGAAGCAGAGGGCATACAATATGCATATCTATTATCCTAAAAAATAAAAAATAAAAAAAATCAGGTTTTTATAATACAGGACATAGTTGGTAAGGACAAGATTTATCTAATTAATGTTTGCCATTAAATCTACTAATCGTATAACTACAGGCATCCAATTCACCTCCAAACTTTTATGTCTAGAAATTCTGAATATCAATCATAAATAAAGATGCAAGTAAATCATGTATGAGCCTTAGATAAAACTAAGTTTCTTAGCTTCAAATTGGCCAAAACAATGTGAATCAAATAAAGAATCTTATTGAATCCAATAACAATGTGAATCAAATAAAGAATCTTATTGAATCCAATAACAATGTGAATCAAATAAAGAATCTTATTGAATCCAATAACAATGTGAATCAAATAAAGAATCTTATTATTTTGTAAACAACCAGTGTTATATATATCGGCTGGGGCTCTGCGCGCGTTCCATCCTTTTTCTTAAAACAATAAATAAATAAAGAATCTTATTGCTCAAAAGAACTTCCATAGCTCATACAATCCACTGGACATGATGAAAAGGTGGACCTCAAGTATACTCCTGATCAAATTATGACTGATATCAAATTGACTTGACTAACTATAACAAATAAACGTATCCATGAACAAACAAATAGCAAGTAGATATTTCAACTCAAGATTGAAAAGAGTGGCAACATTGAAAACTACTAGAACAATTAATTCTACTACACTCATCACTAGGCTAACAATATAATACTTGATTTCAAAAATTCCTATCAGTTAGAAACTACACACAAGAAGAATCTGAATCATAAAGTCAACTCAAGCTGACAAAAAAATATATATCCAGTGTATTGAGACGGATTTTTATGACTCTTTTATAAACTCTACAAATTGAAAGCAAGATCTTCATTCTTCATACCTTTGTGGAATAATAATTTCCCACTTGCTTTTTCTCCGCATTGAACCTCACACCCTTGGCAATCATGGAATTGCATCCGCCACACCATATATTGTAAGGCATCTCGAATCTAGAAAGCCCAAAGCAAACCATGCAATTAAAAAGAGGGAAATGTGAAGGTAGAGGCAAAAAAAGAAGATATCATAAGTTTTTCACAGGTAACCACTTAACAATATTGATTCTCTCATCTGTGAGTTTAAGTGCGGAACTTGACACGCTAGTGCCAGCAGCTTTATCAACTGTATATAGCACTAGCAGCTTTATCAACTGTATATAGCACTAACATAGCAATTTAACAAATATCAGAGAGAAGTTTTCTCACATGTTTGCTCACACAACTTGAGCTCATCTCTCAATGTGGTTTGGGGGGCTTTATTTTTTGCGATGGGGGGGAGGGGTTGGGGCGTGTTGGGTGGGTTTGAAGGATGATGCTGGTTTCCACCTATTTACCTTAAGTGACAATAAAAAGCTGCAACCATGATCGCAGTGATTATGCACTATTAAAAAAATATGCGCACATCATAGATCATTTGATCAGAAAATTTTTCATGGATCTAGCAATGACATTTGCTCTAATATGCGAGAAGCTATCACAGAGGAACAGCCTTCTGAACCAAAATCTAGCTAATGGAGATTCAAGAAACATGCATTTTACAAGCTCAAGAATGATGCACTAGGTATAGAGCACTATTGTAAAAGCCCTGATAAGCCCCCTTCTAGCCGAAATGGTCTATTGGGTGATTCACCCTACATTTAAAAAGCCCTTGTCTCACAAACTTGAAGTTCAGCTTCAGCCTGTTTCAAAGGCTTTAACTCAGATTTAGGAAGTATTTTTTTTAATTTTATTTTAAACTTCTCCTTTAGGGAAAAGCCTAGAGCGGATGAATTTATCTCCTGCATGAATCTCGACAAAAAAAATGTTATGAAGTTACTTTAAAGGGGTCTTTTAACATCTTCTATCTTTCTTACAATATTTCTATTTATAGTTTATGCCATGTTATCTTTCTCTTTTTTTTTGAAAATTTTCTAATGCCATTTCTTTTTTACTTCTATGTTCTATGGTCTTCCTCTTCATAATAGTTATTGGAAGTACTTAACTTTATTCATTTATTCACTTCTTCTTCCAGTCCGTGTTATATGCTCAACGCTACTAGAGCTATATTCATGATGATCTCCATTCCATAATTTTTGGGTGTCTGATTATTGTATATTTGTATCTTGAAAGCTAACCTGCTGAAAACACTTCTGGAAAAAGCAAAAACTTCATCTTTATGATATTGATGATAATGATTAAAACTAATTCTATCCAAACTCAAATCCATGAGCCCCTTCTTAAATTGTGTTACGTCAAATGTTCA